CCAGAAAAGAAGAAAGAGTTTCAGAAAGTCAGCTTATCGCGACGTAGGTACTGTTGTTCGACGTGTAGATAGCTAGTGACATCAAAAAAACAACTGATACATTAGCTGGTTTTCACGCATTTTCGATTGCTTTGGATGAGAGTACAGATTTATCTGACACAGCCATGTTAGCTATTTTTATACGAGGTGTTGATGAAGAAGTTGCAACGACAGATGAATTACTGGCTTTACGGCCACTACAAGGGACCACTACTGGAAAAGATATTTTTGCCGAAGTGCAAAGTATTTTTGAACAATATGGTTTACATTGGTGTAAATTAGTTGGAGTGTGCACGGATGGTGCACCTTCAATGGTCGGTTCACGAAAAGGTTTTATCGTAATTCTGAAGGAAAAAGCAACCGCCATGAATATGCAAGAATGTAAACCATCGCCAGTTTAAAGCATTTTTGGATGAACTTTCTTCAGAACACGATGATGTGATATATTATTGCGAAGTAAGGTGCCTAAGCAAAGGTAAAATGCTAAAAAGATTTAATGACCTTAGAAAAGAAATAGCTGATTTTATGGAAATGAAAGAGAAAACATTGCCGCAAATTTGTGATCCAACTTGGCTTTGTGACTTGGCATTCCTGATAGACATCAGAGGACACTTATACGACCTGAACTTGAAACTTCAAAAACAAGGGCATTTGATAAATCAGCTGTACAGTCATCTTATAGCTTTTCAAAAAAAAAAACTAATTCGCTTGTGCCTTAACACATACTGCACAATAGCTTACCGTTCCAACAATGTTTCATTGGGCGTATCGCTCGCAAGGACGTCGATACACTTTCCTACGTCGTTAAACAATACATTTACATGCTTCTAACAAATCGACTTCGTAATGCATTCAATCGTAAAAATTGATCTTGGTTATCCGTTGTCATCCTTTGTCGTCCTTGTCTAGGTCTTCTTTGGTTACTATCAGTCTCCCGAAATGATGCCAGTGCTCTGGATACAGTGGTTTGTGTCACCCCAAGTCAAATTGCCAACTTGAACTTCTTCAACAAGTGCTATGGCAGCAGCACGTTCCTCCGGCGATAGATTTCTGCTTTCACGTACGTTCTGGGCAATTTCACCTTACTAAAAGTTAGACGTAGCCAATACAAGTGTAGAAAGCTAACTAAACTACATAAACAGTGTTGCCGCAACCAAATATGTTGAAGTAGCAAACAAATTTGCTACAATGTACCCAAATGTACCCAATTCTGAATATGTACAAAATTCATATATAAATGCCTTTTGCTTTCAAAATCTAAATAGAGTAAAACAAATATTAAATTTTTAGTATAATACAATCAAATTGCTTTCAATAAGAACAATTTATACAGTGTGTCCAATTATGTCGGAACCATACGGTAAACTTTTTTATTCTTGCTTTTATGAAAAAAAGTAATTCTTTATAAAAAGTTCTGCATGGTCCAAAACTTAAAATGCAACCATCATTTTTTTAAGTCGTATACGTGGTTTGTCAAAAAATATGAATATGAAGAGTAAAGTACCTTTATTTTTGACAAACTTCGTATACGACTAATAAAATGTGATATCTTATGGTTGTATTTTAAGTTATAGACTATGCTCGACTTTTTATGAGCAATAATTTTTTTCAGAATATTAATAATAAAAAAGTTTCTCATATGCCAGCAACTGTCAATGTAAGTTGGCGGCATATTCACATTTGCACAATAACCCTAAGCCAAAATATTTTGCCGATATTATATGTTGTTTTATGGCTTTTTTTAATCCTGTAAAGCAATAAAATCAACTATACCTTTAATTTGAATAGCCTAATTTAAATATGAAATATAAATTTGAAATAAGGGCCTTGTTTGTTAAATATTCATAAAGTTGGAACTTAGGAAATTAATTATTTCAAAATGTACCCAATTTAAGATTATCTGTCCCAAAATGTACTTGTGTACCAAGAGCGAGAAAATGTACTCATTTGGGTACATTTGTACCCAAACGGCAACACTGCACATAAATGATAGAATTTCACTTGTACAGATTTTTGTTTACTTATCATTTTCTTAATATTGTAAACAAGTACTGTTTTAAATGCACTCAACAAAAAAAGGTATCTAAAAAAATTGAAATACAGAAATAATTTTTACCCATTAGCGTCCGTTTAAAAAATTTTATAAAGGCAATTTTTCGATTTTTAGAATTATGCGTTATTTTTACGGCGCAGTGTAGTAAAATGAAACTTTGGACAAATTGAAATATTTGATCTAACTAAAGTTAGGCAAGTTTTTATTTAAATCATTTGCATGATTTGTCAGTTCCGGAAGAGTATTATCAAATCAGAATCATATCCAATTCACCCCTTTTTGAATTTATGTTCGACTCAACAAATGCCGCTTATCTTTATTCAGGCAAATTCAAAGTAAATAATAATACGTTGCGTAGAATTGTCATAATGTCAATCATGAAATTCATAGCTATCTACAATGTAGGCGTGATATTTACAGCCATTGGCCAGTAGCTATTACATAATGAACATTCTGTCACTAGCGTTAGAATGAAATACGTGTAAAATACTGTAACGATTGTTTACTTTAAAAATAGTTTATTTATCTAAAACAGTTTATTTATAATTAAGTAATTTATTTATACTTAAGCACTATTTATATTTCACACTTTTAATTTATTTAACAATTAACTTTTTATAGTCAAACTTAAACGTCTATCGACAAAGTCGCGCTATTTATACAAAAAATATAACAGCCTAGAAAAATCCAATCCTGTCTTGAATGTTCGATGTGTTCGTGAAATCTTTCCTCCACGCGTCGGCTGCGCACAAGGAAACATACTTTCTCGATTCTTCGAGGTGAATGGGCAGCGAAAGTGGAAATACAGACATAATGGCAGCGGTAAAGGTCAAAGAACAGGGTCGGCCTCAGGTGATCGCACAACAATACATAAGAGGCAAGTGTTTCAAAATTTTCTTTCAATCTCAAGAGCGAGAATGTTTTTTTCTGTCATAAGTGGTTTCGAAAGAACTAAATTCAGTAGTGGCCGTGGAAAAAACACTTTTTGTTTGCACTACCATAAATGGATAATACACTTTTTTTGATCCTGATGTTTCAAATAATTACTAATAGCCAACATGGATTTGTAACCTCACATAATATGTTTTTAAATGTTTGTATGATGAATTACACGTTGCGGGTCTGTTTTTTGACGTTCAATCGTCGAAATTTTGAATTTATTAAGAATAAATTGTATGACATTGGATTTAGGGGAATATTTTTCACTGGCTTTATAGTTTTATCTCAGGTGATAGGTCAATTCTTGTTAAATTAGATAATTATACACGTGAAGAAACATCAGGGGTCTGTACTAAGGCCATTACTATTTTTACTTTAAGGAACTTACAATAACATGTGATCGTCTAATTCAAAATTTTATAAATTGTTGTTATAAAAACGGCCTTATGTTAAATATTGTCTAACCAGAGTTTATTTTAAAATTGATAGTATTCCATTAACATTAGTTCATTATAAAAAAAGAAATTAATACCATACCATTTATCGAAGGCGTTGACGAAATTTTTTGTTTGAATTTAAATTTAGTATAGGTCCGGTCAGTGCCATCGGAATTATTGTCATCACGCAGAGATCTGATAAGGAGTAGCTTTTTTTAGGGGGCTGGAAACCCGCGGGGGGCACTCGTCCGCGGGGAGTCCTAAAACAAACAGCGTCCCAGCCTTATGGCTCTTCGTAAAGGATTTCCTACTGGGCATTCACTTTGTATGGAATTTTTTATTCTTGTTCTTTTTATTATTCGCTTTTTGTTTTAGCTGGGAACGGTTATGCATTTTTTTGGTTTTTAGTCAGGGAATGAATCTTAAACATATTTATGTACGTAGTTATTTATTTAAATTTCACTTCTAAGATTATAAAAAAAGTTGTCTGATAAAATAAAAAAGAAAATAGCTCTAATTTATTTTATATAATATCTGATTGTTGATGAAACATTTTTTTAACTAAAATATATTTTTCTTTGTTTCATGTTTACATCTCTTGGACCAATAAAACGCTGTTTTTCTTCTAGTATGTGAGTATTTAACAACGCAGTTTTAGTCAAATTGATAAAATTTGAAAATATTAAATACAGAAAAAAATAGGAAGCCCTTACATATACAGGGCGTCACATTAAGAATTTGACACAGAACAACTGAAGATTCGCTGATTAAAAATAAAACAAACGAAATTTGCTTAGATATTACTGGTTTTCGAAATAAAAGTTGAAATTTCAAAAATTATTAATGTCTATAATTTTTTTTACTTGTTCGTATAATTTTACTAAATTTGGTAAACATTGTTCGTGTCATTAGGTACACCTATTAACAAAAAGAACAGTTAAATAAACTTTACCAATGGCGTAGATTTTAAAATCAAAGAAAGGTTTATTTTTATTTGTTTTATTTTCGCAACTGGTGACATAATGAATTTTTCGTAACCAGTTTTATAATGTTCAACATTATGCAACTGGTAAAGTAGATCATTTTGACACTTGCTGCGATTAGAAAAAAATGTCACCTTATATGTCAATATTAGAAAAACAAATTATGTCTTTTATCGAGTGACCTCCAAAATAATTTTTTTAAATCTGTATTTTTAATTTTTTGTTATAATTCATTGTAAATTGTAGGAATCTATTTTATTTTGAATTGTTTTGGATTTAGTAGGTACTAAGTACTACGTAAGCTCTGTGGCTTGGCTAATTGAACTAAAAATCGCGCATACGACAACTGGAACAAGAGACGAGCGTAAGTTGGTGGAAGGCATACTTATTTTGCAACGGGCTTTCTTCTCTTATCAGTTGTCTTTGTTTCAAGTATATTCCTATTACTGTTGTCCAATTCATTGTAAAATAGAAGATCTGCGTTTTCTTTTCGTATCTGTATATCGATTTTGTCTATAGTAAATTTATTTCAATATTTTTTAATTTTTTTTAGACTGTACTGCACTGGGGAGCTAAATATGGAAATCCGGATATTATTAAGGCGTTTGCGGGAAAGTACAAAGTTGATGTTAACGGAAAAACGGTATGTTGATCATATATGTTACAGTAAATGTTAAAAATCCCTAATGATAGTAACCCAAGTAGCACCATAAAAACATTTTGGGTTTATTTCAGTTTTAAAATGGTTTTAATGTGATAAATAAGAAGATACTGGTTTTAAAGTTACCTTGTAGATATACTGCGGGCACTTAAAAGCCGTTTAGCATTTAATACTGGTTTTAAAGTATATAATAAGATTTGCTAACAAGGGCAATTATTCTTAAAAGTTTGTATGTCTTGTAGTTTTAAAATGGTTTAGTTTTAACTAATTTGAAAACTATTTAGTTTTATGAAGGACTTGCAGGTTGTTTGGTTTTATTATATTCTAGATTGTGACGTTTTAGTTTTTAAGTACTTTTAAAGAGATTCTTAATGTAACTAATAAAACCTATTATTAAGTCTGCTTGATTTTAGGACAATTTGGTCAGTAAATATTGCGTTTTAAAACTATTTCATTACTTTTTCTTATAACGGCTTTCTTAAATGCAATTAAATAGCTATATTAAAACGTAAAGACTAACTGTACTTCTTATTAATCTAAAAATACACAAAACACAAACGACTGATGACAAGGAGATTTTAAAGTTAGGTTTACATTGAAACCGAGCAGCATTTATCACAGCCGCATTAAAACTAAACCGCTTAAATCACAAGCAAGCCTTTCTTTTGTCTAGGGTATAGTATAAAACTCGATTAAATAAAACCCTTTGATCTTAATGTTTCCTTGTCCATTAACTAAACGGTTTTATTTAATTTCCGGCCATTTTAAATATTACGTAACTAATAGCAATTTTTTGTTTCATGTATTTTGCTGTATCCTGAAAATAAATTAGAACGGGGTAAGTAACATTTTTGTCCTAACCTTTTTTTTTAATACTATATGTATAATCTTTGCAACAGGTCTAGTCCAACCTCAAAAGATTTTTAAATATGACGCCATACTATACTACATAGTAACATCTATCAATCCGAAAAAACAGTGTATTCTAATAAATGTCGTAATTAAACAATTCTCAGAACTCTTAACAGGTTGTCTGCCGTGAAAATTACCTCGAAATATACAAAAAAGCACGTTTAATTTAATTTTAATATTTATCACCATGTCCCGGAACAAAATTAACCGCTTATTTCGAAGCAGTAGTATAATAGGCTGTAGTAGGTAACTCCAGGTGGTTCTCGGTCGAGGGATGATTCGAATATTTAAGATTTTATTATGTAAACACGACGATAATCGGACCATCGGATGCATACCGATGACAAAACACATAAGAACCGACAACGTTGTCAAGTTGTCGCGGCGATATTCCCGGAAACGCTGCATACGGAATGAGTTTCCTTTATTTTTCCTGTTCAAAGGCCACCGACAGCGATCCTACTGCCCGTGCAGCCGTGCCAACCAAAAATTAGAGGCTAAATTTGTTTTCATTATTCCGGGCCTGAAATGGGAATAATTTGATATTTCGATGGATTGTTTCTAAATTTATACCTCTTCCAATCCTCTAAAAATATATTTATTCGAATTTATCAAAACAGAAAACCTAATCAAAATGTAGAACTTTTCTATATACATATTTCAAATGAACCGCTGCAATATTTTGCCGCTTAAGATAAAACGTAGCAGCGCGACGTATAACGGAGGGCGACATTTTATCGTAAGCGGCAAATAGCTTTCCGCTCGAATTGCACACAAGATTTTTTCTACGATCACACGATATTAAAAGTATATAGTTTTATTTTGCCGAATTCAAATCTTACTACGTTAATTTGACAGATACGGCTAACTTGACTAGCAAACGAAAAGTTTGTTATGTGTATATTGTGTTGCCTATTTACTCTAGGATTAATTTTATGATACGCATAAAAAATATAAGTTAGTAAGTACATTTTAAAAAAAACTTACAAGATTATCGGTTAGAATATTTAAATCGCAAATTAATGGCTCACACACTGTTTTAAGTTTTATTTAATTTTACAAACAAAAAATAAAATTTAAAAAAAATAAATAATAACTGGCGAGGATTGAACTCACGACCATCAGGTTCAAAGACAAACGCGCTAGGCTCTACACCAACAAGACATGTTAAATATGAGTGTTAAAAACAGGGTAATTTATTTTTAATATTTTAGTTATCAAATAAAATATTAAGGAAAATGAGTTTGAGTATTAAATGTTCAACTAAAAGGTTCAGGTTAGTCTACATTTTCTTTTAAAATACCGATTAGTTTTATAATAGCAATATTTCTAATGAAAATAGTCGTGGGCAAAAGGTAACTTTCCACCTAAATGCGGCAATAATGTCAAAGTGTGACAATTTATGGAAAACGTCAACTTTCCAGTTAGATTTGAATATGTTAAAGCCTACTTTGGAAAGTGATCGTAGAAAAAATACTTTTTTCTACTACTCTACTATAAGTTGTTAATTAAATGCTAATTTTCAGTTTCATAATGATACTCATTATGAAACTGAAAAATTGACCAATAGAAATCTAGATTTTTAAATAACCAAGTAGGCAGACCCAATATTTTCTGTAGAATGTTTGACAGTTTCTAAGAGATTCGTGTTTTATGACAGTTTCAATCTTTTGCGTTAGTCAAAAAGGTCAAAATAACAGAACCCATCTTTCTGTTATTTTAAAAAAAAAATTAAATTGTAATTGTTTTATTAAATTTCGACTGCACCCGAAGATTTAAAAGTTTTCCGAAACATATGTAGGGCCGTGCTAAACAATAGAAAATAAAAACGACCGAATAAACCAAGGACATTTTTATTTATATAAAGCAATGTTGTTGAATTGAAATAGTTTATTGATCGTAGAAAAAATAGTGTATGCAACTCTCATGTAATGGCTATTAATACATGATCATTGCATAATATACTAATATGATACACTGCAATGTTATACCGTGGTAATCAACCTTTGTTTATGGTTATTATGGGAGTCTTTATTGTCAGTTGTAACTGAACTGTCATTATTTTAAGTCACATTTGGAAACTTGTAATTAAATTATAAAATTTTATTTGATTTGTAGTAAATTGCAGTATATCATAAATCGTTGTACGATACACGTCCTTTACCTGATCTCTACATGCTCACACGCTAGCTTTCGTACATTAACGGTCGTAATCGCATGTAAAGACGGGCTTATAACGTAAACTACTATTATGACCCAGGCCAAAAATATTAAATTGCTCCAATTTCTAAACATTTTTTTATTTTCAGTTTACTTGTTAATATTACTGACAGTATATTCTATTATAAAATAGTAGTCCATAATCCACATGCACTGAATAGATTTCAAAGATAAATTTTGTAATTAATACCACAAGATGGTTTTCATGAATTTCATCAATAACACAATTAGGACTGGTCTCAATATTTCTTACGGCAGAAGGTCAACATATATACTGTTTACAGTCGCATCAGGAGACATTTTTATTGGTTTGTGAGATTCAGCATCTGTGGGTAACGGAATTAAGGTGTGTAGCTTGTTACCTCCTGCTTTTGTTAGGGTCACGACACCTACTTTATTATCGCCTTGGTGAACTTCAGAAACTCTTGCCATAGGTGGTCAGCGGCTTGGATTAACATTTTCGTCTTTTATAAGCACTAAGGTGCCGATTTTTATATTTTCTTCAGGTTTACACCATTTATATATCTGATGTAGTTGATTAAAATATTCGGATGTCCATTATTTCCAGAAATCGACCTTTAGCTTTTGCACTAATTTCCAGCGTTGAGTGAGGTTGTTGATATCTGTATTGATTGGATTGGAATGGGATAGTATTTCTCTTCCAATTAAGAAGTGACCTGGCGTCAGGACGGTATAATCATCTACATCTTCACTTATAGGACATAATGGTCTTGAATTAAGGCAGGCTTCTATTTGATGCATGAGGGTTGTTAATTCTATAAATTAATTTTAATTCTTCAACAATTCTTCTCAAATGATGTTTTACTGATTTGACCCCGGCTTCCCATAATCCACCAAAATACGGTGCTGATGGTGGAATAAAATGCCAACAGATTTCTTGAGTAGACATAGAGTTTTGAACATCTAACTTCTTGGTAATTTGGAATATTTCATTTTGCAAATAGGTATTGGCACCGACAAACGTTATACCTACCATTATCATTTTATATGTGTGAACATGGACCTCTTCTTGAAGTAAATCTTTTTAAAGCAGCCAGAAATGATTCGGTGATCATATCGCTTACTACTTCTAGACGGACTGCTTTCGTTGCTAGGCACACGAAAATAGCTATATATCCTTTATATGACTTATACCCTCTTCCTTTAGTTGTTCTTACTTGAATAGGTCCGGCATAATCTACTCCAGTGTGTGTTAATGGAGAAGTCGGTGTGACTCTAGGCTTTGGTAGTTGGCCCATCTGTTGCTTTGCAGTTTGATTCTTGAACCTTATACATTTGACACATTTATTTATTACTCTCTTGACAGCTTGCTTTCCTCTGATAACCCAATATTGCTGTCTACAATATGAAAGGGTTAATTGGTTTCCACCATGTAGTGTTCTGTTGTGACAGTTGCAAATTACAAGATCGGTGAAGTTACTCCAAATAGGAAGTATGATTGGATGTTTCTGCTCATATGGTAGTAACGACTTCTCTAGTCTCACTCTGATTCTAAGTATACCTTTATCATCAATAAATGGGCATAGATTATGTATTTTACTTGATTTCTTTAAATATCCACCTTTTTCCAGAGTTTGGTATTCGTTTGTGAAGTGTTTTAACTGTAGAACTTTTATTACTTGTTTTAATGTGGTCTTTAATTGTTAATGATACTGATTTTTTCCATTTATTCGTGTTTTACTGTAAATTACGGCACCATATGCTTTTTAAGATGCGTCGCAGAAGCCATGCAGTTCAATTTCTGTTTCATCGAAGTGAATCCATCTTTGAATTGTAATGTCTTCCACACTGTTTAGCTGCGTTTGAAACTCTTTCCACAGTAGTACTATTTTTT